ACATTCCCTTCCCCTCTGAAGCACGTGCACATCACTCCCATACTTAAAAAACCCTCTCTGGATCCCACCGACCTAAACAACCTTAGACCCATCTCCCTGCTGCCATTTTCATCCAAACTCCTTGAGCACTTAGTCTATAATCGCCTAAGCTCCCACCTCACCGACAACAACCTCCTTGATCCCCTACAATCTGGCTTCCGTCCCTTACACTCCACCGAAACCACCCTAGTCAAACTCACCAATGTCCTGCTAACCGCCAAAGCCAATGGCACTACTCAGTGCTACTACTCCTCGATCTCTCTGCAGCTTTTGACACGGTAGACCACCCCCTCCTCCTCAAAAAACTATACTCTTTTGGCCTCAGAGACTCCGCTCTCTCCTGGCTCTCTTCCTATCTATCTCAACACTCCTTCAGTGTTACCTATAACGCTGCCAACTCCCCCTCACTCCCCCTCTCTGTTGGGGTCCCCCAAGGTTCTGTCCTCGGGCCCCTTCTCTTTTCCATCTACACCTCCTCCCTTCGTCAACTGATACACTCCCACGGCTTCAACTACCACCTCTATGCCGATGACACTCAAAGCTATCTCTCTACCCCTCACCTCACTCCTTCAGTCTCCGCCCGAATCACTAGCCTTCTGAATGACATATCAGACTGGATGTCACTCCACTTCCTCAAATTAAACCTTGACAAAACTGAGCTTCTAGTTTTCCCCCAGCCCGCCACCCTCCCCCCTCCGACCTCTCCATCACGACCATTCTAGATCATTCTAGACTGCAATCTGTCTTTCCAGCCCCAGATCCAATCGCTGACAAATTCATGCAGACTCCACCTCCGCAACATCTCCAAAATACGCACATTCCTAACTCCAGAAACTACAAAGCAACTCATTCACCCCCTTATATCACGACTTGACTACTGCAACTCCCTCCTCACCGGCTTACCCTAACACAGGCTATCCCCGTTTCAGTCTATCCTGAATTCTGCGGCCAGACTCACCCACCTTACCAACCGCTCCGTATCTGCCAACCCCCTCTGCCAATCCCTCCACTGGCTTCCGATTGCCCAACGCATAAAATTCAAAATATTAACATTGACGTACAAAGCTGTTCATAACACTGCCCCAAACTACATCACCAACCTGATACCCATCTACCACCCAAAACGCACTCTCCACTCCTCACAAGACCTCTTACTCTCCAGTTCCCTGGTCTCCTCCTCCCATGCCCATCTCAAGGACTTCTCTAGGGCTTCCCCCATCCTCTGGAACTCACTACCCCAATCCATCAGACTGTCACCTACCCTCCTCACCTTTAGGCACACCCTGAACACCCATCTCTTTAGAGAAGCCTACCCTGCCCTCACCTAATTGCTGATCTCCTCCGCTCTTCCCACCACTCCATCCCCCACAGTTATTTCCTCCTGTACCACTCTCCCCTCCCTCCTAGATTGTAAGCTCCAAGGACCAGGGCCCTCGAACCCCTCGTGTATTATATTGTATTGTTACCGTACTGTCTCCCATTATAATGTACAGCGCTGAGCAAGCTGTTGGTTCTATATAAATACTGTATAATAATAATAATAGTTTGTAAGAGAAGACCATCCACTTTCGTACATGAGGCATATTGTTGTGCATGGATGTTCACTGTTTATTCTCGTATGTAAACATAAGTAAAAATAAAATTTCTTAAATACTGAAGCTAAAAACAAAGAAAACTTTTAAAACATTAGAATGTATAATACATCTGGGTAATTTGGATAAAATAAAATAACGAGCAGTTCATACGCTGACACAGAGTTTTCTGGTCCTTTCAGCTATCTAACCAGTTATAGGCAACAAATTCAGATATGTTTTTTACATTTTATTAGATTGTTATTTCAATATTTAGATAACACTACAACATTCAAGTTCAGGAATATTTTGGACATTTTTAGGACCAAATTGTTTTGCTTTCTAGCTTTTTGATCCTAAGTAACTTAAATCATCCTGTGACTGACAATCAACACAGCGCTCTGTACAGAGGGAACCATCTCTCTATTTCTTATTCCTGCAAAGCAAGAATAAGAAACAAAGAGATTTGTTAGTAAAAGCAGCACATATTACACATTGCCAAGTATAATTTAGCCCCTTAATTGCCCTAAATGCCAGTGTCATTAGTACAGTGACAGTGTAGAGCAGGGGTCCTCAAACTACGGCCCTCGGGCCACATGCGGCCCGCCGAGGACATTTATCCGGCCCGCAGGGCAGGTGCGTATCTGCCGCGAGGCAAGGGACTAGGGTTTGGCAGGTCGTGACCTAAAATCATTGAGAGGGCAGCCGCCAAGCAGAGGCATGCAGTGTCCTGTCTCTCCGCCCTCTCCTCTCTGAGCTGCGGAAGTTTCATGTGTGTGTATGGGGCCTGGAGAGCGCACGATCCTTTATGTGCGATGATCGGATCAGGAAGGATGGGGTTGGCCGGGGATTTACAGCGGGATTTACACCCGGGGCGACACTTTGTCTGCCAGCCTGGGAGGGGGGAGGTGAGCAGGGGACAAGTTAGTCTGGAGAGGGACCCCCCCATGACCCCCCCTCTCCCCCCCCATCTATTCTATATACACTCCCTGGATATGTAGTCCGGAGTCACCTTCATATACTGGTGACAGCCCGGGGTCCCAGATGTGTGAGAAGTGTACACAGATCTGACCCAACAAGGTATCCTGCATTTACCGTATATTTTGCTCCATAAGACCCACTTTGGGGGAAATGTCTGTGCGTTATGGAGGGCCGGCCCAGTATTCCCGCCGCCGTTGTATGTCCGCAGTCTCTGGTCATCTCCTGTACTGTGTCCGTATTTGTTCATAGTTTTTTTTTTTTTTTAAAACTATAGTTCGGCCCTTCAACGGTCTGAGGGACAGTGAACTGGCCCCCTGTTTAAAAAGTTTGAGGACCCCTGCTGTAGAGTATTATCACTGAATTAGTGTGACTGGTGGTGTCAGTGGCAGTTAGTCAGCCCCCCCCTCCCAGTGTTAGTGTCAGATTGCCTGCCGCACTATCGCAGTAACATTTAGCCCTGGTTCACATATGTGCGTTCCTGTGGGCCGCGTTTTGAATGGACTCCCTTGCCCCGGGACACACAGGGAAGAAGCCCCTGCACTTCTTTGGAAACTGCAGCCCTCACAGGAACCTCGGTTCCCAGTGCGGTTGCAATTTCGAGTGCGGGAGGCGTGCCATTAGAATTAATGGCACCTGCCCGCGGGTCCGCATTCTACTGTGTGGGTGGTGCGGTTTGCATGGATTTTTGTGCGGATCCGCAGCGGCACCACCCACATATATGTGAACCTAGCCTAAAAGTCCCTGATCACTGCCCTTAGTAGTATAAAAAAAATTCCAATATATATATACCATACTTTGTAGATGCTATAACTTTCACACAAACCAATCGATTTACACTTATTGGTTTTTTTTTTTTTTTTACCAAAGACACGTATCAGAATACATTTTGGCCAACATTTATGAAGAAATTAGATTTTTTACTTTTATTTTATTGGAAATATATAGCAGAAAGTGAAGCAATATTGTTTGTTTTGTTTTACATTTCGCTCTTTTTTCATTATATATTATTTTTTCATTATATATATTAAAAAAACAAACAACCCAGTGGTGATCAAATACCACCAAAAGAAAGCTCTATTTGAGTGAAAAAAAAATTATCTAAATTTTGTTTGGGTACAGCATTGCATGACCGCGCAATTACCAGAAAAGATGTGCAGTGCTGAATAGCAAAAAATGGCCTGTCATGAAGGGGTAAAACCTTTCAGGGCTGAAGTGTGCTAAAATTTAAGTTTAGTAACCACACAGATCCTAATTAGAATCCCTTTTAATGGTATATTCACTATTCATTCAAAAATCAGTAAACCCTTTATTATTTAGGAACATAGTGCAAAGTTTTGGTTGTAAACTATGCCGTGTGATCGTGTATGATCATGTATATTTATTAAAGTGGAACTTCACTCTCCTTATCAACATGGACTTTTTGTAATCCTTATGCTGCTAGTATTAGTAAATAGATAGGAAGTTATATCTTATTTAATTATTTTAAACCTTTTTGGTTACATTACTTCAGTTACTTCTTGGTTTCCATGCCTAGGCAAATGATGTCATACATCCCAGGAGTCTTCAGGATGGAAGAAATGTTTTCAGCTCAGCCTATGCCTGAGCATAGAGCAAATGGATTCCAGGAAGTAAATGATATATGAATCATCTGCCCTTACTCAAGATGGCCATGACTAGAAATGCTTGGGGTTGTTTTTTCAAAGTGATTTCTCAGGGAAATAAAGCATGGAGACATGGATGCATGTATGAGTTTGCTTTGAATATTAAAAACAAATTACATAGCATTATTTGTGGTACTCACTGCAGTGAAGTTTTACTTTAATGAGATAATGATGTTACGAATATCATTAATCCATACATTTCTTAAATTAACACTATAATATTAATAGACGTAAGTGTGGATTTTCTATATTTGAATAGTCATAATGAATGGGACAATGAATACTGTTGTGTTATTATTTAGTACCTAGTTTTAAAAAAATCTAAAATAATCATCTTCTTAAGCTAACATGAAGCAAATTTGTTAACGTTTATTATGGGAATATTTAACTATGTGTAAAAGTTAAATTTTTTTTATTATTAGGATTGCCTTAGAATACAATGCAAAATTGGAATTTCTGGAATAAAAGTGCTGTGACAGAATTTATACTAGTGGGATTTCCAACAAGTCCAAATTTTCAGCACTTCCTTTTTTTTATCTTCTTCATTTCCTATGTATTAACAGTGACAGGGAATATTGTAATCATTACTGTAATTCAAGCTGACAGTCACCTTCGTCGTCCTATGTACTTTTTTCTCAGCAACTTTGCATTCATGCAGATTTGCTACATAACAGTGACAGTACCTAAGCTGCTCCTAGGTTTTCTAACCAACACAAACAAAATATCTATTGGAGCTTGCTTTACTCAGTGCTATTTTTTCTTTCTACTTGGAGGAATAGAGCACTTCCTATTGACCATTATGGCATATGATCGATATGTGGCTATATGCCATCCCTTACGTTATAATACCATTGTAACCTCAAAGGTTTGTTGGGGCCTAGCATGTGGCTGTTGGCTGGGTATCTTCCTTGGTTCTTTGCTACCTGTGATCTTCTTGGCAAGATTATCTTTTTGTGGACCGAATGTCATTAACCATTACTTTTGTGATGTTTCACCATTATTAAAGCTTTCATGTACTGATACATCCCTGATTAAATCCTATTTTTTCAGCTTAATGTGGATCATTATTTTTAGTTGCCTTGCATTCATTCTTTTGTCATACATCAGCATTATTTCTGCTATTTTTAAAATACCATCCACAGTAGGGCGTCAGAAAGTATTCTCCACCTGTGGCTCCCATCTGACTGTGGTTATAATATATTTTGGGGCTGTTATTTTTTATGTATGTTAGGCCAAGAGAAAGTTATTCCTTTGAACAGGACAAGTTGATCTCTGTGTTCTATTCCATTTTGACTCCTCTTTTGAATCCATTTATTTATTGCCTTAGAAACAAGGAAATAAAACAGGCTTTATGGAAATGCATTCAGGGCAAAAACAGTTTGTTGCCTCATCTGCACACATAAATAAAATATTAGAAATATTTTTGTTTTAATGTTTTATCGCCTAACTCCAAACAATACTTTTTAAAAAGTTTTTGTAGAGTGTGGTGGAATGGTAAAATCTCTGCTAGGTTTCCATGGGTAGAATAAGGGAAAACTATTTTTAAAACATAACTAGAGTATAAAAGATGACTTTAGGCCCCCCATTTTGCCTGGCAACCCCACCACCTGACCTTGCCACCAAATAACAAATAAATAAATAGCACACTGACACCAACTGGAATTTAACCTCTTCACGCTGAGCTTGCGCAAATATGCGGCCTCTCAGTGGCTGGGGCTTGACGACGAGCACCTGCATGTTTGCGTGCCATTTGTAAACAAACATGTGCTGAGAGTGCGCGCCCTGAGCACTGCCAGCACATGTGTCGGCATCCCACGGAAAGGTCCCGATCTCTCCTTGTGATCGGGACCTTTCCTATCATGTGTCCGCCATGACAGCCAATCACAGCGGTCACATGACCCTACCTCCTGGTGTCAGAAACCCCTTAAAGGGCAGGGAGGCGTCTGTGCGAAGGGGTTAATGGCCCCACAACAGCCACTTTATTTAACTTTCACCTTAACTACTGTCTTCCTACTGAAATCTCCTGAGACAGTCTTGCCTACAGCCCTGTGCAGATATCACCCGTCCTGTCCAGCCTCACTTATAAGGTCAGTACCCCCACCTCTGCATCCTTTAAACTCTTAGAAACTCCACCCATATTTACCACTCCCCTTTTAACCCCAGTCATGATGTCTCTCTGTCCATTCTGTTCCAGTTTTTTACTTCGGACCAGACTTTATGATTAGAATGCAGCCCATGTACAACCTCTGGTAAAAAGTATGGAATCACCACTCTTGCAAAATGTTCATTTAATTGTTTAATTGTGTAGAAAAAGAACTAATGACAGACATGCCTCAAAACTATTTTCATTTAACATTCCAACCTTCTGGCTTTAAGAAACACTTAAAAAAATAAAAAAGAAAGAAAACCATAGTCAGTTGCAACTGTTTTTGCAGATCAAGCAGAGGAAAAAATATAGAATCACTCAAATATGAGGAAAATAGTATGGAATCATGAAAAAAAACCACTCCAGTACACCACTAGTACTTTGTTGCACCACCTCTGGCTTTTATAACAGCTTAATTCTCTGGGGCATAGTTTTACTATCAACAAACATTATTCTTCATCAATCCGGCTCCAACTTTCTCTTATTGCAGGTGCCAGATCAGCTTTGCAGGTTGGAGCCTTGTCATGGACCATTTTATTTCATTTCCACCATAGATTTTCAGTAGTACGGACCTCAGTCCGTACTATTTGCATTCCATGCAATTGACATTGTACGTCTTTCTTGAAGGAAAGTTTTCACGGATTTTGCCTATGGCAAGATGCATTATTATCCTGAAAAAGGATCATCATCACCAAATATCCTCTCAATTGACGGAGTAAGAAAAGTGTCCAAAATATCAATGTAAACTTATGCATTTATTGATGATTTAATGATTGTCATCTCCCCCATACCTTTACCTGACATGCAACCCCATATCATCAATGATTGTGGAAATTTGCATGTTTTCTTTATACATTTCATTGGAACGGCACCAAACAAATGTTCCAGCAACATCACCCTGTCCAATGCAGACTCGTGATTCATCAATGAATATCACTTTCATCCAGTCATCCACAGTCCATGTTTAGGTGTTAATGATGGTTTTCGTTTGGCTTTTCTGTATGCAAATCCCATTTACTTTAGGCGATGTCTTACATTTCAGTCACGGACATTGACTCCAGTTTCTGCCCATTTGTTCCTCATTTGTGTTGTTGTGCATTTTCTATCTTGATGCTTTGATGTCTTCCTTGGTCTACTGACACGCTTTCCTTTTACAACCTTCCCATTTAATTTGTACTTGGTCCAGATTTTAGACTGGCACAGCAGACTGGGAACAACCAACATCTTTTGCAACTTTCCATGATGATTTACCTTCTTGAAGAAGTTTTATTATCCTCTCCTTTGTTTCAACTGACATCTCTTATGTTGGAGCCATGATTCATGTCAATCAGCAAGTATTTCTTAAAGCCAGAAGGTTGGAATGTTAAATGAAAATAGTTTTAAGGCATGTCTGTAATTGTTTTTTTTCTACACAATTAAACAATTTAATGAACATTTTCCAAGAGTGGTGATTCCATACTTTTTGCCAGGGGTTGTACATCTTTTGTGGTCATACAATTAAAAATTAATATTTACTACCTAAACTCAACATTAAAGTGGACCTGAACTTAAAAATTGAAGATTTGCTATGTTATAGAAAACAGCCAGGAGTTTGTAAATCTTTTCGTCAGAATGAGATAGCTCCATAGGCACAAATCTGGGAAGGGGAGAGCACTTGAAGATCCACTCATGTCCTGAAGAGACCATCTTGATGACCCAACTGTCTGAGATTGAGACCCCCCCAGACATGCCAACAATGGAGCAGCTGTAACCCCACCTAGTGTGCCTGAGCGGGCCTACTCTCAAGAGGAGTTTGAACCTCCCGGATTCCTGAGGCTGATCCTTTGGTCAACTTCTGAAAAGATGACTGGCTTCAATTCTTCTTGAATTCATGGCCAGATCTGTAAGAGTGCACCTCTCTCATGCGATCTGAGCTCTGTCTCCAGAAATGAGACCTATTCTGACCTAGCAAGGTCCTGAGGAAAACAACTTCAACTAGCCATCTGTGGCTCAGGCTATAGCATTATCCAACTTGCTAAGCAAGAATGAAGACCCTCAAAGGAGATCTTACACCAAGCCTGCTTAGAGGTGGGATCAGTGAGCTAAGGACACAGCCACAATCAGGTGTGGACTGACAACTCATGGGGCCCCCGGGAAATAGGGGATCATGGGGCCCCTGTGTCCTTGCCCAAACTCAAAAAAGCCTATGAAAAAGGTACCAGGGGCATCAAGTGGGGCCCCCTACTGATCCCGGGCCCTCGGGCAGTGCCCAAGTTTCCAAATGGTCAGTCCGCCCCTGGCCACAATGCATGTGAAGCTGTAACAAACCAGAGCAGAACCCAAGCCACAGAGAGGATGATGTCAATCAGGATCTCACCCAGAAACATCAACGTAAGCTTCAGCTCTTGGATGGCTGAGCCTCTGGCTACACCTTCCAAGACACTCTTCAGCTTGGCTTTGGACATGGTCGCACCATCACATAGATTCTTTTGCGGTCCATATTAATTCACCTGTCTAGGCCATTCTTTTAGGAGCATATAAAGCATTGCACCAGCGACCAGCAGATCACTGGTGCCATGCACGATTCCTTCAGACTGTCAGTGTAAGCTGTCTGCCCATACATTGTTCCACCCTAAAAACATGTAACATGTTCCCGAAGGTGAACTTATCCTTTAACCACTTGCCCTCCAGAGGATTTACCCCCTTCCTGACCAGGCCATTTTTTGCTATACTTCGCTGCGTTACTTTAACTGACAATTGCACAGTCATGCAACGCTGCACTCAAATGAAATTTATGCCCTTTTTCCTCACAAATGGAGGTTTTTTTCGATGGTATTTGATCGCCTCTGCATTTTTTATTTTTTGTGCAATAAACAAAAAAACCTGACAATTTTGAAAAAAGGATATTTTTGACTTTTTTCAATAAAACATATCCAGTAAAAAAATTTTAAAAAAATCAAATTTCATCATAAATTTAGGCAAAAATGTATTCTGCTACATGTCTTTGCTAAAAAAAAAAAAAACCAATACGTGAAAATGTATTGGTTTACATGAAAGTTATAGCATCTACAAATGGCGGTATATACAGTATACTGGTATTTATTTTATTTTTTTTATCCTAGTAACGGCAGCAATCAGCGCCTTATAGAGAGACTGCTCTACTGCGGCGGGCATTTATGACACTGGGTGGGAACTGACTAACTACCACTGACATCCCCAGTGACACTAATACAGTGATCAGTGCTAATATAAAGCACTGGCACTGTACTGATGACACTGGGCAGGAAGGGGTTAAAATCTGGGGCGATCAAAGCGTTAACTGTGTGCTGTTTTACTGTGTTGTCTGCATGTGCTTTACTATGTAAGCACACTGCTTTGTATTGCTCTGCTATGCAAAGCAATACAAAGCAGCATGCTGGTGCTAACGGGAGAGATCTGTATTGTTTACATACAGACCTCTCTTCTGTCAGTGTTCCTCAGCGATTGCTGGGTGCTGGTGGGGAATCTCTGGCCAGGACTCGGTGATTGACAGCTGAAGCCACCAATGGCCAAGAGCTGTGCCTTAAGGAGGATCCAGAGCTTCTCCTGTGATGCCTAGATCTTGACAGGAACCCACGGTGTTTTGATTTGAAAAAGAAACAATTGTGACGCATTAAGAAATGGAGAGCAGACCAAGAAGGGCTAAAGAACACAAAAAAGAAAGTTAAACCCCTGAGGCCCTACTAGAGGAGGAAAGAAAACAACCTTGCCTTTCT